GTAGGGCCAAGACGTTCCTTTCCCCGTTCCTGCGGCTTTTCTTCTGTTTCTTGTGTCTGCCTGGCTAGGGTTTTATAAGTTGAATCACGTTTGTCTGGCTATAAGAACTTGACTTCCTGCTAGAGCTGAGGACAGCTGGTGGGTTCCTTTCAGTGTCCTTGGACTCTCAGGGAAGTCCATGCTTTAAGATACCAAAGTCAAGATTTTAGCTGCTTCTTCGAGCTATGCGGATGGCTCAAATTCCCTTACTGCTTGTCGGGAGGATAGAGAGGGGAGCACTGCACACAGGTAGTCAGAAGGGCTGGAGACAGGCATGGAGAAGACGGGTGGACCTGCCTACAACACTCCTCCCCTTCTAACATATCTGAAGTTGGTTGACCACGGGAACAAGATAAAGTGTAACTGTTGCTCTAAGGGGAAAACAGCCAAACGTTCGCATCTTATGGGTTTTATGGGGGTAGCTCTTGTTCCTCAGAAAGTCTGGAGGCCTGTTCTCCTTATGACTCCTGTTTTCTCTTAGACATCTGTGTAGTTACTGACGTAGGTGGAAAGCTGTTATTAGCTACTTACCAATTGATTCTCAATGTTAGGCTGGTAATCATACTACCTTATGTAATTGCTTTTATTTTGTTTTGCTTTGTTTTTTTCTTTGCATACTCTGATGAAATAGTAAAAATGACAAATCTTTGGTTCTATGAGTTAAAACTTGGGAAAATAGTAACTTATATTATAGTCAGCAAGGACTCTGACCTTGCTAATTAGCAAAGGAAAAGGCTAGGAGAGTTTCTTGGAAATTGGAGTTTGCTACCCAGGGCTGCTGGCGGTGCTGCTGTCCGAGGTTCTGAAATGGGGCTTGCCCAAGGAGGCCTAGCTATTGAAGGCTCTGCAACGACCTTAAGCTGCAAAGACCTGAGGACAGGATCTCCAGAGGTGTGACTGTTAGTTTTATAAAGTAATTTCAGAAGAGCACAAAAAATTTGTGTTGTTTTTCAAATGAACTAAGACACCACAACTTTCCATCCTTTGCCTACGTCCTCAACCCCATGCGCTCAGAGAGTCTCCTTCTCTTGCTTTCTCTGGGGGAGTGGGGTCAAGTGTCACATTGATCAAAGGGTCTGCAACGCTTTGACCCAGGGATTTTATTTTAAGACAGATCAAAAGCCACACCTGACAGCTGAGCCAAACTTACACTGACCTTGCTCATGTTTTTTCCCTTCCTTCCTTCCTTCCTTCCTTCCTTTCTCTTTTTTAAGATCGGAAACTTGAACTGGAATTCAAAATCGTCAGTTTATCGCATTAACTGAGATTTCATTTCAGTGGATAAACCAATATTTAAGTTCTCTATGTATGTTCTAACTGATTTTACTTCCACTCCTAGGAAGTAAAATCAGCTTTAGGGAGAGAAACTCACAGTGGATGACTGATGCATGTACTGCATTGCTATTTATCCCAATTGGATCGTCACATAGAGCATAAAGATAAAGAAATGACTGGTAGATAATTCTATTGCTAGTAAAAGTGTGGCATAGATTCCAATAATTTTGAGTTAAGAACAATGACAAAAACTTGCATTTCCACACTGCTGTGACTGTAAGCCCCTCATTGACACGTCTTGCTATTTTAATTTCCTTAGCTCAGGATTTAAGAGGGAGTCTGTGTTGTCAAAGGACTGCAGCCATTCTCTACCTTAGTGGAAGTGTCCAAATACATGGAAGGTTTCTTTTTCTCTTCATCTGCATTAATTCCCAACATGGAGTTTATATCAACAATAGGGAGGTCTACTGTAAATATTCTGTGATGTTATGAGGCACTCAAAGATTATATTTATATTATGTTTATATTTCTAGATAAAGTAGAATTTGTTAACACTATAAAACTCTTTTAAATAATTCTTCTTCACATTGAAAAGTAAACATGGATGCCTGTATTTCTCAGTACAACAGAACTTACTACTGGAGATGCCTTGATGCCTTGTGTTTATTTCTCAGTGGTAGAGAGGTGGCACATTACTTTGCCAGTCTGTAGGATATACTAATTGATAAACTAATTTCACAATAGATGGTTTTATCTTAAGGTACTAGTGCTCTTGACTTACGGCAAATGAACCAACTGGTTATAGGTAGAAAATGATATGTGTATCTTTCCTTAGTTCAGTGAATAAGCTCTCTGATTATGAAAAAGTCATATATATCTTCATACAAAATATAAAAGACAGTTTAAAATGTTTGTTGATTTTGGTGCTTGTAACTGACTTTTTGAAAACACTGGCTTATTTTACTGTAATTGCAATTACCAAATGCCTATTGTTAGAAGCTTGCTTCAGATTCGTGCAAAAAATTCCCCCATCTTATTATTTATTTATTTTTTTGGCAATTACAAAGTCAGGGATAGGCTAAAAGGATGGGATACCTAAAAATTTCAGCTGAAAGTAAACACATTGTGTCTCCATAATTGCTAGCATACTCATATAAAATAATTTAGTTGTATATAAATATACTTACTATAGATAAGATCTATAGCATTCTGTTAGGATTAGAAATTAGGGGTATTTATATTTTAGAAGAAACACATTGACTTTTTTAGCTGATATATAACTTTTTTCAGTTAAGATGTATTATTGAATTTAGTTTTGTATTCTCCCCTTATTGGAAATCCATTCTATAAAATAAGGAGTCATTAAATTAAAATTTTATGTAACATTTTTTAACGAGCTTTTCTGATCACTTATGCATTTTAAGAAACCTTAAATCACATCTACTATAATTATATGATTTGAAAGTGAACATTACAGTATATACCGGTAACTACATCATGCTGGGGGATGGGGCAGTAGGATTACAAATTCCAGGCTAACATGGGCTGCTAATTAGCTTATGGTTTGTTTTGTTTTATTTTGTTTTTTTTTAAATTGTCTTGAATTCATAATAAGTACAGACCAAATACAGCCAATTTACTTCTAAAAATCCTTGCTTTGTAACGTGTTAGAAAACTAATCTGTACTCTGGTGTGCTTTTAAACATCGTGATAAATAGTTGGTCTCACTTTTTTTTTTTAAAAAGCAAATATTTGCGTTCATGAAGAAATGCACACATATATAAATACATAACTTAAACATTGCCATTTAAGGTCCTTTGATTATATAAATCAGGCAGCAAAGTTGTGAGTAATTTTCTCTGTGGTTTATGACAGCATTCAAAACAGCATCTTTAGCATATTAAAGAATCTGACAAACATGTTGAAATCTTCATGTTACAGACAATATAAAAATGACATTTTCTAAACTCCAATTTACAAATATATGTCATTTTTCATGCTTGACTTTTACAAGATTTTTCTCTTCATATCACCCTTTTTTTTTCCCACTAAGTCCTGACTGTTCTAGAGAATGCACTCTAAGAAAATGCGGTTTGAGGGTACATACATGTTTGTGTTGAGGGTACATACATGTTTGTGTTTCATGTGAGTTTTCATTGCTACTGACATTGTTTACTTCACACTTTCGGATACTTGCTGAAAGAACACAGGTTTGAGACTATATTCAGATGGAGGTCATGGCAAAGTCTAACACCCAGTTATGTCTGTATACATTCTAGTCTTCATGCCGCCAAGCATGCATGGACGCCCATTATTTTATTTTTACAATCTAGTATTTAAGCTAGTGAACTGCTTGTATTTAGCAGATACAGACTGCAACACATCTCATGAATATTAAGGACTTGAAGCTTCCCTAATATTTCGGAGTTTCTTTTTGGATCTGAACTGCTCACAGTCCCATTCGGCTTGAGGTCCTTGAGTCTGAATTCTGTGATGTGGACTTTGCATACAAATGAGGAAACAAAACAGTTCTCCACAGGACTAAACTTGGTTGTCAACTTGACATACCTGGGAAGAGGTTACCCTCAATTTAAGACCTTGAATTTCCCCCATCAGTTTGGCCTGTGGGCATGTCTGCGGGGTATTTTCTTGATTAGTAATTGATGTGGAGGGGGGTGCAGTTGGAAGTACCATCCCATGGTAGGTGGTCTTCAGCTGCACAAGAAAGAGCTGAATTGTGAGTCTGCTTGCTAGTCAGTAAGCAGTGGTCTCCTGTGGTCTCTGCTTCAGTTCCTGCTCCCAGGTTCCTTCCTTGAGTTCCGGCCCTGAGACACAGTGATGTAATAAACCCTTTATCCGCCCCCCCCCCACGTTGGATTCGGTCAGTGTTTTATCACAACAGTGGAAATGCAAACCAGAGCTGCTCCTCATCTTTCTTATTTTGGTGTTCTGTCTGTAAGTTCCTAGGGAAAGTTTTTTTTTTAAAACATATTTATTTTAGTTTACGTATCTGTGCATGTGCCTGAGTGTATGTATGTACACCATGTGCGTTCAGGATTCCACATGGGCCAGAGGAGGCACTCAATGTCCTGGAACTGGAGTCAAGGTCCTCTGCCAAAGCAGAAAGTGTTCGTAAGAACCCGGCCACTCTCTCCAGCCCAGAACACCACCTTCATTATAAGTCTGAACTTTAGCATTGCTTTGCTGTTTGTAGTGAATGTGCACATGTCACTCTCTAGAGGATGGAGAACACATCTAAGAATAGACCTTCATTTGCATTCTGCTACTTTATTATTTTCAGTTATGTCTGTAATTGAATGGGTTTTCTGCAGGATCAGGTAGTCTGGCCATGCAGATGAATAGGGCCACTTTAAAGTCAAAGATACCATCATAATCGTTTTATGACTAGATTTATGGGTTTTTTTTTAAGAAATATATTTGCAGCATGCAGTTGCTGATCTATCACTGCATTTCCCTCCTTGTAGAAAACACTTCACAATGCGCATTAATGTGAAATGTCTGCAGTGATCCAGGCCAAGAGGTGTGTTTTTACTCCAGACTTGTAACTGGGTCAGATTAGCAGCTATATAGGACATAACCTAAATGTTGATGTATGTTGGTTTTAATCACTTTTGTTGAATGAGGTCAGTGTCTGCTTATGCAAGGAGAATTAAAGGAAGGAAATA